TCTAAGATTCCATCATGTCTTTTCATGATGTGATTACTTCTTTTCTGTTCTCAATAATATTCCATTGTTGATATGTCACAGTTGATTTATCTGATCACCTATTTAAGTACATCATGCTTGTTTCTAGCTTTGACAAATACAAATGAAACTGTTTTATGCATATTTTTATGCATTTGTATGCATATTTTTGTATGAGAAAACCCATAACTTTTTAGCTCCTTTCGGTAAGTACCAAGAAGTGTGATTGCTGGATTTCATTGTAAGAATATATTTAATTTTGTAAGTATTTACCAGACTCTGTAAGTGGTTTTATGACTTTTCATTTCCACTAGCAGTGAATGAAATTTCACTGGTCTACATCCTCGACAACATTTATTGTTAGTGTTCAGAATTTGAATGTTATCCTAATAAGTTTGTAGTGACCTCATAGTATTTGCATGTTCCTAGTGATTTAAGCTGTGGAACATTTTTTTCACTGCGGTTTTTTTTTTTCTCTTTTTGGGTCACACCTGGCAATGCACAGGAGTTACTCCTGGTTCATGCACTCAGGAATTACTCCTGGCGGTGCTCGGGGGACCATATGGGATACTGGGAATTGAACCCAGGTCGGCTGCGTGCAAGGCAAACGCCCTACCCGCTGTGCTATTGCTCCAGCCCCTTCACTGCGTTTTTTGGTCATAAGTATTTTTTGGTGGTGTCTATTAGATCATTGGCCCATTTTCTTAATTGGGTTTTGTTACTGTTTTAAGATATTGCTGCATATTTTCAGTGCAAATCCTTTATCAGGTATTTGTTGTACCAATAATTCAAAATAGTTCAAAATAGTTCAAAAGTTCTTCCAATTTGTGTCTTGTCTTTACATTCTCTTGTTATTTTTCTTTTTAAAAATCTCATTCAGATTTTTTTTTTCTTTTGGTTTCGGGCCATATCTGGCAATGCTCATTTATGCCTGTCTCTGCACTCTGGAATTACTTCTGCGATGCTCTGGGGGTTATATAGAATACTGGGGATCGAATCCAGACCAGTGAAATGTAGGACAAATGCCTTACCTACTATACTACTTCTGTGGCCCCAGGTCTTTTAAAATACTTCTAAGAGCCGAAGTGATAGTACAAATGGTAAGGCCCTTACTTGCCTTGCACGCGGCTGACTTGGGTTTGATCCCTGACACAACATATTTCCCCCATCCCCTGCCAGGGCTGTTTCCTGATAAGTGGTTCCTGAGTGTTGAGCTAAGAGTAGGCCCTGAACATGGCGGAGGGTGGCCCAAATATGAAAAATTATGATATTAATAAGGTAAAGGTAAAAGCCCTCCCGTTGATCATCGATTTGCTCGAGCGGGCCCAGTAACGTCTCCATTGGAGACTTTGTTGTTACTGTGTCTGGCATATCGAATACTCTCGGTAGCTTGCCGGGCTCTCCGAGAGGGGCGGAGGAATCGAACTCGGGTCGGCCATGTTGGCCGCGTGTAAGGCGAACGCCCTACCCGCTGTGCTATCGTATTAATAATAAATGTAAAATATTTTGGAATTTGTGTGTTTTATTTTTATGTTTAAATAGTTTCTTATCATGAATACACTTTAGATGTCTAAGTGTTTAATTATATCTGGAAGTACTGCTTTATTTATGTATTTGACATACTGATTTTTAGAGTCTCAGCATCCAAGACATCTGACGATACTTCTGTGATGTACAAATGAAGTCTCACCATTTTTATACGTCTTTATGTTGCATGTTTTATTTGGTGGCATGAAGTATTAATTTTTTCTTTCACTGTTTCCTTTTCCCCTTGCAGAAGCATATCTTTTTTTTTTTTTTTTGGGTTTTGCATATTTATTTATTATTTTACAAACTTGGGGAAGGAAATCTTAAGACTGGACAAACTACCCATCATTACTCAGAGAATTGACAGATTCTATGTATGAAACATTAATAATGTGCATTCCACAAGGGACAGTAGAACCATAGAAAATTAACTGACAGGTAACAGAATGAGTTAAACTATTTGAAGTGCATATAACCGGTCTACAAAAATATGATCTTATCTTTTTTTTTTTTATTTTTTTACAGTTGTAGATTTACAATTTTTTTTGTGCTTGGGTTTCAATTATACAATGATCAGATAACCATCCCTCCACCAGTGCCCGTTTTTCACCACCATGGATAATATCCCTCCCACCCCCATCCCCCCATCCCCCCCTGCCTCTGTGGCAGGACAATCCCCTGTGTTCTCTCTCTCCGTTTGGGTGTTGTGGTCTGCAAAAGAGGCATTGAGTGGCAAACATGTTCAGTCCATAGTCTACTTTCGACATGCATCTCCCCTCCTGGGAGGATCCTCCAAACATCCTTTATTTGGTGCTCCCTTCTCTATCTGAACTGCCCTTTCCTGTAGGATACCCGGCTGGCCTCTTAGTTATGGAGTAATCCTCCTGGTGCTGATCTCAGCTATTCTTGGGTATTAATCTCATACTTTGTTACTTTATATCCCCCAGATGAATGCAATCTTTCTATGTCTATCCCTCTCTTTCTGACTCATTTCGCTTAGCATGATACTTTCCATATTGTACCACTTGTATGTAAATTTCATGACTTCATCTTTTCTAACAGCTACATAGTACTCCATTGTGTAGATGTACCAAAGTTTCTTTAACCAGTCATCTGTTCTTGGGCATTCAGGTTTCTTCCAGTTTCTGGCTATTGTAAAGAGTGCTGCAATGAACAAACAAGTGCAGATGTCACTTCGACTATACATTTTTGCTTCTCTGGGATATATTCCCAGGAGTGGTATTGCTGGGTCAAATGGGAGCTCAATTTCTAATTTTTTGAGAATCGTCCATACTGTTGTCCAGAAGGGCTGAACCAGTGGACATTCCCACCAACAGTGAAAGAGTGTCCCTTTCTCGCCACATCCACGCCAGCATTGGTTGCTTTTGTTCTTTTGAATGTGGGCCAGTCTCTGAGGTGTGAGATGGTATCTCATTGTGGTTTTGATCTGCATCTCTCTGATGATTAATGATGTAGAGCATTTTCTCATGTGCTTTTTTGCCATTCGGATTTCTTCTTTGAGAAAGTTTCTGTTCATTTCATTGCCCCATTTTTGGATGGGATTGGATGTTTTCTTCTTGTGGAGTTTAATCAGTATTTTGTATATCCTGGATATCAACCCCTTGTCAGATGTGTATTCGGCGAATATCCTTTCCCATTCTGTAGACTGTCTTTGTATTTTGGTCACTGTTTCTTTGGAGGTGCAGAAGAGAAGCATATCTTTTAATGTTGAGCTTTGGGGCATATTTTTCAGATTTTAAGAGCATTTATTTTCTCTTCTCTTTGAACTGTGTGTAGAACTTTAATTTCATTTGCATCTTATATATATTCTTGAGTATGGATCCTATCCTCTCTTATTGCTGAAGTGCTACATTTTAAAATTGAGTAACAGAGGCCTTAGTTTCCTGAGTACTTGACAATTATACTTTCTTTCCCTTTTCTGGGCACAAATGTTTTTTTTGCCCCAAAAAAAGTTTCATAATTTAAATCTATTAATGAGATCACATGATATTATTAATATCATTCAGCCAATGAAATAATGAAAAACAGCATTTTAAAAATATAATCTTGCTTGTATAGATTGTTTTAAATTTGGTATATAAGTTATGATCAATAAAATGCTTGTACAACAGAGTGATAAGAAAGTTGTGAAGGGGCTAATGCAGGTAGGACGCTTACCTTGTACGTGGCAGACCTGGATTTCTTCCCTAACACCCCATGAGCCTGATGGGATGATTTCTGAGTGCAGAGCCAGGAGTAAATTCTGAGCCGGCTGTGGCCAAAAAACAAACAAAAAATCAAAAAGCAAAGAATGTGGTGAAACTTTAGTATATTTGTTTTTCTATGCATATACATTTATTCTTGGTGCTGTAGCCATGTAGCAAATATATTGACTAATGTGACTTTTCTAATTGTTGGTGCAGTGTAAAGAACTTAAACATATTTTGAGGGGTTTTGTTTTTGTTTTTTGCTTTTTGGGTCACACCCAGGGTGCTCAGGGGTTACTCCTGGTGGTACACAATGGCATCATATGGGATGCTGGGAATAGAACCCAGATTGGTTGTGTGCAAGGCAAATGTTATACCCACAGTACTATTGCTTCAGCCCCATATTTTTTTTGCTTTTTGGGTCACACTCGGCAATGCACAGGGGTTACTCCTGGTTCTGCGTTCAGGAATTACCCCTGGCGGTAATTACCCCTGGGGACCATATGAGATGCTGGGAATTGAACCCGGGTTGGCCGCATGCAAGGCAAACGCCCTACGCACTGTGCTGTTGCTCCAGCCCCTCAGCCCCATATTTTGAGTTTCATATGTTTGTTTATATATATATATATACACATGCATATACCTATGTATATACACACATATATATGTGGACTTTATTTATAAGCTCTTTGCATCCACTTATTCCATAATGTTTAATAAATTCAATTGATATAGATAGGGCATTCCAAATTTTGAAGCAGTGGGGGCGGGGAGAAGGATAGTTTTAACTATTTAGTTTTAGAATAACTAGTTCAGAAAATTTCTTTTCAGGTGACTTCCTGTTGGTCTGGACCTTTTAGGAAATCTGAGGCACTTTTTATAATTTTGGATCAAAACAAGAAGTTTTGTTTCTGTTTCTTTGATTTTCATTGCAGAGGATTTGTGGATAATTTAGTGTGATTTCCAGACAATGCTTGTTAAATCTCATTTACTAAACTATAATGGAGAGACGATCAGTAGAAGACAAAGTTACTTTTGATTTCTCTTTTAGGTATTGAATGTACAAGAGTTATTGACACCAGTTAACCTTAAAAGTTACAAGGAAAAAAGTCATTCTTCAGTTTTCCTTTAGCTTAGATTAGCTGAATGAAATGTCTTTGGTTATAAGAGATCAAGACTCTTCACTGTTTTAAATCATTCACACATACCACTACCACCAAAAAAGCTTTGACCTCTTTTTTTCTTTAGAGATGAAGATGACATCAATGATGTGACTTCTATGGCAGGTGTAAACCTCAATGAAGAAAATTCCTGCATCTTAGCAACAAACTCTGAATTGGTTGGCAGACTTGTTCAGTCTTGTAAAGATGAACCATTTCTTTTCATTGGAGCGCTACAAAAGAGAATTTTAGACATTGGTAAGTGCCGAGGATTGAACCATGGCCGTATGCAAGAAAAGTGCCCTATCTGCTGTACTCTTTCATCCCTTCACCCTTTTTAAACTAAAATCCTAGATTAAATTATAACAAATTTCCTATAAAATCACATAATAAACACTCATTAGATCTTTTAATCAATTATATTGAAGTAATACTTATTTAAAATTGGAAATACGTTTTTTAGTATTTTGTTAAATAATGGTTTACTATAGTTAAGGGAATAACATTAGACTATTTGATCACTGATCCCTGGATAGGTTATAAATTTAAAAACTGGTTCAAAGAGATATGCAAAGGTAAAGGCAGTTGCCTAGCATGTGACTATGGCTGTAACCCTAATTGAATTCTGGTACCATGTATGTTCCCCTTGAGCACTGCCTGGCATGGCCCCTGAGCACAGAGCTAGGTGGGATTCCTGAGCACCACCAGGTATGTTCATCCCCTCCCCACGCCCCCACCAAAAATTTTGAGCTTATTTTTTTTAATATTTTGTTATTGAAACACTGTGAGATAGACCCTGACAAATCTGTTAATGATTAGGTTTCAGTCATACAAGGTTCCAACACCCATCCCTCCACCAGTGTACATTTCCCACACCAGTTTCCCAGTTTCATCCTTAGTTAACTTTCAATTAAAGATAATTTTTGATATACTCATATTACCCCTTGAATATATTAGTATGTTTCTTTTTTTCCAGTGGTGGAGTGGGGTGGTGTTTATACCATACCCAGAGGTGCTTAAGGTTTATTCCTGATTCAGCATTCAGGAGTGTGACCCTGGCTGTGTTTGGGCGACAATATGTGGTGTCACAGATTCAAACTAGGGATTCACATAAAAGGGAAGTGCCTTAAACTCTGGATTACCTCTCTGGCCCTAAGTATGTTTCCGGTTGAGCTCAAAATCCTATATTTAAAAATTTGCTCGGATAAATGTTGAAAACAAATACAGTGATACCATTAAAAGCACATTCAAATTAGACTTTCTAATTGCCTTTCATTTTTGTTCCCTTTTTTGGCCTTTATTTTTAGATGTAGTTCTCTGTTAATAGAGGTGATTTTTCTGTGGTTGTGGATTATGATATAATAACATGAAAATTAATTTATAAGTAAATTCTGTCTTTGGGTATGTGTTCTATGTTGTCTTCTTGAAACTTTCTTCCTTATAAAGATAAGGAAGAAAAGTTTGCTTTGTGTGTAGAAGATTATAGGGAAAGAGGAGTTATTAAAATGGAAGGGTGAAATAATGAGGCTTTGAGCCCATTTCAACTTTAAATTATTGGGTGAGTTTATTAGAACATGAGTTAGTGTAAAATAAGCATTGATTGATAATGGATAAACAGTGTAGTTGTGTCTTGTACACGAGGCATTAGCAATGACTCACAACCTGAATTCATTGAAATAAATGTCATAAGTTGCTAACAGTGTCAAACAGGGCAAAATGTAATTTTCTATTTTTTTAATTACTAAAATTACAGAATAAGGCACTAATTTCTGCAGTTACCATTTTCTTCCCTGAACACTAGACTTGATTTGTGTTCTTATTAACTTTGTCCTATAAATGACCTTGCAAAGAGAATGATTCTAGAGGCTAAATGAAACAATGTCTATATTTTCTGAAGCTTCAGGCTAGGTTTTATTAATGTAATGTCTAAGATCTTTGAAGTTGTGACTTTACCAGGAAAATCATAATCTCCAAACCTTTATTCATAATGGGTATGACTTCCAGGGGGAACAGAATACCTGCTGTGCTAATTATTTCAATTATCAGCCACTACTAAAACACGTAATGGATTTTCTCTGCTTCCACAGGTAAAAAGCATGACATTACAGAACTTAACTCTGATGCTGTGAACTTGATTTCCCATGCAACACAGGAGCGATTACGAGGCCTTCTAGAAAAACTGACTGCAATTGCTCAGCATCGGATGACAACATACAAGGTAAAGTAAATCATAAAAGAAATACAATTGTCTCTCATCTCTGTGAAATTTAGTGTAGTTGTTTTTTAAGGATCCATGGCTTCATATTCTAAGTCTGTACATAATGGAAATGGTGGAGACTTAAAATTTATATTCAATTTCTAGTAGTTGAAAATGTTACCCAAAGCTTCAGTGTCAGTATATTTTAAAATATGCATGTCTTCTTATATAAAGGCTTTTGATTGTGAAGGGGAGCATATTAGAATGAAGTATTTTCAGATTGTGTTCTCCACAGTGATTTGTCCTCTAGGACTCCTATCCCTTTTAAAATTGATTACAGTGAATGCCTTGTACCACTTATTATCTATATTGACTGCTTTTACTAAAAAACTTAATTCAATAACTGCTATTTTTTTCCTAGTTATTTTGGCCCAAATCACTTGCCATTACCAAGATGAAAACCTTTCATTTATATGAATTGTTTTTGGAGAAGAGTAATGAGTTTATTGTTTAATGAGGGATTTAAAAAAAGATTTTTTCTTCTCAGTATCAAAATTTGTTGATAGCTCTATTTTATACAAAATTGCATTTAATATTATTGGGGAGTGTGCAGCAATAACAGTTATTGTTAACTGGTTATATTGGTTAGATGTTCTAACCATACATTGGATGGAATCTAGGGAAATATCTGTTCTCGTGGCACTGGTAAGTTTCCTTACCATATTGATAAAAATATCAGTGTTTTCTCTTCTTTTTTTACTTCATAAAGTTTCATTTTTAAAATATCTTTGTAAGAATTTCGTGATCTAGTGTCCTGAGTTAGCCACTTACAGTGGGTAAGTGCCGCAGTTTCCATCCTTGGCACCCCATATCGTTCCCTGATCTCCTCCAGGAGTGATCCCTGAGCACAGAGCCAGGTGTAGTTCATAACAGAAAATAATTTTTTTGAATTTTTTTCATTTTTTTCTTGGCCATCAAATTTTATATATAGTTTTTCATGGTATTCTCTTACAAACCTTTTGATTTCTGTAAGGTCAGCAGTAGTTATCTTATTTTCATTCTGACTTTATTTTTTTTAAGTATAAGATAGGTTACTGGTTTGGAAGCTTCCAAGGTCCTTTTTTATTTTTTATTTTATCTTATCATTTTTTCTTTTTGGGCCAAACCCAGTGATGCTCAGGGGTTACTCTTGACTCTGCACTCAGAAATTACTCCTGACAGTCCTCGGGAAACCATATGGGATGCTGGAAATCAGTCCTGCTTTGACCATGTGCAAAGAGAACGCCCTACCCATTGTACCCGCTGCCCTGTAGAGTTTTTTTTAATGTAGGTGTTTATTGCTATAAATTTTCTTTTTGTATACTGCCTTTGGTGCATTATAGTAGTTTCACAGTATATTGTAGTTTTGTTCTCATTTAGCTCTATTTTCTAATATTTTTTATTTTGAAATCTCTTGGGCAATATTCTAATATTTGTAGGGCACTATTCTAATATACTCTGAAATGTCTACCCACAAGGCAGTGGGTAGGACATTTGCGTTGCATGCAGCTACCTGATTTGATCCGAAGCAACCCATATGTTCCACCAAGTCCTGCCAGGTGATTCGTGACTGCAGAACCAAGAGTAAGCCCTAAGCATTGCCAGGTGTAGTAAAGAAAAGGGGAGGAGAGGGAAGGGAAGGATAGGGATGGGGTGAGGAGGAGAGTCTTTGACACATGAATTTTCAGCTGGGGATTCAATGAAGTTCAGTGTTAAAACCCATGCATTGCATGTATAAGATTCTGAATTTGATTTTCATCACCCAAAGTAAATAAGTAAAAATATGAAACATAGCTTAACTCATTCTTTTTGTTTTGTTTTGTTGTGGGGCCACACGGCAATACTCAGGAGTTACTCCTGGCTCTGCACTCAGGAATCTGGCAGTGCTCAGAGGACTGTTTGGGATGCTGGATTGAACCTAGTCAGCCTCATGCAATGCAAGTGTCTTACCCACTGTATTACCACTAAGGCCCCTAACTTATTCATTTTTTAAGGGGTCATGCAGTGCTCAGGGATTATTCCAGACTCTTTATTTGGGGATTGCATCTAGCATTGATGGGATCCAGGTGAAGCTGGGATTGAACATAGGCCTTCCATATATAAGCATGTATTCTGACCCATTGCTAAAGTTTTAAAATGCATTTTTTAGTTTTTCTTCTACTATTGATTTCAAATCATTGTATTATCATCAGAGAAGATACTTTATATAAATTTATTATTTTAAATGTATTGAGACTTTGTAGGCTAACATAACACTTAAGAAGAATTTTTATAACTGAGTGTTTCATGGTGGTTCAGTTAAAAAAAAAAAGACTACACATTGTGAGTTTCAAAGAACTGTGGGCTCTGGGACACAAACGTTCAATGACTGAGAACCATTTTCCTGGCCCACCAATTAAAGAACTGGGGAACAGGGAACAGAGGAACAAGGCCCCAGGCTGGTTGGTAATAAATTTATTTTTCTCTTCCCTAGTGTAGTTTGATCTCTCCTCTTACAGCATAATAATTTCTCTTCCTTTCTCCCCAGCATAGTTCGGCCTTATCTCTTGCAGCATAATATTTCTCCTTCCTCTCTCCCTCCTTACAGCATAGTTATATAGAAACCATGAAAAATGGTGGCTATACATAGGTGAGGTTGACCATTATCATAACAACAAACAAATGTAAAGCTACTCCTTTAGGGGAGGTTCTAGAGATTAACTCAAAGACAAAAAACTCATCTGAAGGTTCAGCATTCTAGATTACTAGATCTACTCAAGGGTAGGATTTCATCTAGAGTGTATTGCTTTCGTCTTTCTTTAGCTAGTAATCCGTTTAACTGATCATAGTAAATTTACTTTTTACAAGTATTTCTAATCATTTTGTATGAACACAGTAAGAGATATGTTAAGCTTAGAGGTTTGCTCTTCCTGGGGACAAATTACAATATACCCCAGAGTACAGTCCTCAGGCCAGGTTAGTTTTTCCTAACTCCAGCAGGGTCCTTATTCAATTACTTCTTTTTGGGTCATGACAGAGTTTGTCCCGTGACCATACTCTTATGCTTCTTATGGCACTTAGCTTGTCCCTTTCTGATGTAGCTTACATTTTGCCCACCATCCATCCTTGTCCCTCGCTGGGACCCCACCTCCTTTTGGGGGGGGTGTTATAAGGGCAGTTGAGGCTTGAGTGGGCGGGTGAACTGCATCTTGGAAATAACAGGTTAACCTTAAGTTAGATAAATATGATGGATGCCCAGAAGTAAATACTATTTGAAGTCAATTTGAACTCCCATGTTACAGAAGCATAGCATCAACTGTCTTCCTGTGTCTATGCAAATGACATAAAGGAAAGAGAAACGTAGTATAGAATTATTAGTGCCTGAAGGAATTGGGTGTGCCTCAGGAGCACTCTTGTGGGAGTAACTCAATAAACCTAAAGCTCCCTGCAGGACGAATAAGGACAAACCAGTGTTACCCTACAACACACACACACACACACACACACACACACACACACGCGTGCGCAAAAAGAATCTACTCTTTTGTTGGCTGGGGTATTCTGGAGTGTTCGTATAGATCTGTAAGAACTAGTTGGTTTGTATTACTAAGTTCTATATTTCTTTATTGATCTTCTATCTGGATAATTCGTTATAGTACTGTCCTCTCTTTAGTTCTGTCAATATTTACTTCGTATATTTGGGTTGTCTTATTTTATGTATATATTTTTGTTAGGTTTTTATTGCTATTTATTGGGGTTTTTTTTGTTGTTTGTTTTTTGCTTTTTGGGTCACACCCGGTGATGCTCAGGGGTTACTCCTGGCTTTACACTCAGGAATCACTCCTGGCAGTGCTTGGGGGACCATATGGGATGCTGGGAATCAAACCCGGGTTGGCCACGTGCAAGACAAACACCCTAACCGCTGTGCTATTGCTCCAGTGCAAGTATTGCTATTTATTAAGCCATTGATAAGGCTGATTAAATTGGGCATGAACTCCACTTGTTACAGTTTTTTATGGATTGACCTATTTGTCAATATATATCTTCATTTTTGATCTCCAAACTTTTTCCTTTCTCTTCTTTTTTAATAAATAATATCTACTTGATAATAGTAAGGCAGCTCTGTAATAGTAAGGCAGCTCTGCTGAAACTCTTGTCAAAATTTTTCCATGAAACAGTTGATATGATTTTATTTTTATCTTTTGTTTATAAGGCATAGTATGTTCATTGATTTACATATGGGAAACCATCCTTGCATTCCTGGGATGCAAGCTTTTCATCATGTGTATGATCCTTTACATTATTGGATTTAATTTGCTAAGAGTTTGCTAAAGAGTTGAAATTCATAAAGGAAATTGGTCTATACTTTTTTTAGTAATCTCTCTGTTTATTTGATATAAAGGTAATGTTGGCTTCATAGAAACTTTTAGGAAGGATTCCTATTCAATTTTTGGGAAATACTTGATTAGAAAGTTTTTTGGGTTTTGTTTGACTGGTTTTTCTGTTTGTTTTTACAGATTTGGCAGAACTCACTTTTATTTTTACAGGTTTGACAGAACCAGAGCTCATCAGGAACTGGGTTTTTGTGCTTGGAGAGTTTTAATAAGTTTTCTATTTTCTTACTTGGGATTGATCTATTCAGATCTTCTACTGCTTTTTGACTCAGTTTTGGGCATTTGAGTCCAAGAATTCATCGCTTGATTGGGTTTTCTCTCTTTATTGATGAGACTTGTGATGCCTCATGTTTGTGAAGCTTCTTCATTCTTTCAGAAAAACAACTCTTGGTTTCATTTGCCATTTGAATTATTTTCTTAATTTCTTTTTTTTTTTAATGTATGAGTACTGATATTTATTCAGCCATTGACTAAGCTGATTGAATTGGACATGAACTCCACATTACTTTTTTTTTTAATTGAATCATTGTGAGATACAGTTACAAAACTTTCATGTTTGAGACTGATCAAACACCCATCCCTCTACCAGTCCACACTCTCCACCACCAG